AACCCCAGCCCTCTCTCTGGGGCTAGGGTGAACGAGGACCACCCCAGCACTCTGTCTTTGCCAGAGCTGGGATGATCTTTTTCCCACCTGTTCTTCTGCTCTTATCTTCCTCCAGCCATTCATCTTTGGCTCAATTGCTTTGCAAAGTGTAGTGTTTACAGTAGGAGCCACTCTATAGGCACCTTCATTCATTTATCCAAAAATGCTTTTATTCCGCTCTCAATTCAGCTCCTGCAATTTTCGTTAAAAACTGCTGGTGGCAAAAGATAAATCAATCCCTTTAGCTCCACCAAAGTATCACTTCTAAAACGCTGCCAGAAAAGAAAGCACAAAATTTTCAGGCTTTGCTTGGTATTGATGTCCTCTTTAATGAAACTTTAATGAAACTACTAAATATACATGGTGCTGCTTTTACAATAAGATTTGGTTAGAACATTTGTGGATTTCACCACACTTGGTGTTTATTTAGGAGTGTGCATGTTATATATGTAGAAAGTGGTAAAAAAACAAAATGAACTACCCCACCTGCCACTCTTTAACCTAAGGCGAACGTGACTCTGGTACAGAAAAATTGCAGCTTGGAAATAGTTTAAGTCATGAAAGGAAGAAGCCAATATAACCCCATGTAAAAAGTAATTACCCTTATAACATTTAATATTAATAACACATTCCTGCCATTCTCTGTGGTAACAACTACCATAAGGTATTTGAGATAACAGAGGTTTTCACATTGCTGTAGAAGAATTTTTGCCTGCTCTTTTTTTTTTTTTTTGCAAATTGATTTTAACCAAGCCATAGTGTTTTTTCAACTGTAAACAACCAATTCTGATTGGTTACAACATTCCATTTGGATTGAAATTTAGACTTTGATTAGGTCATTCTAAAACTTTTGTTTTGACTTTTATTTAGGATATCCAATTTCAGTTTCAAAGTCTAAAGAAATTATTTGTAATTCTTTTCAAAACAATGGATACCAATGGCTTTACTTTTCAGTTCTTCCTAAAATTGTTAAATTGTTGATGTTGGAGGTCTTCAATTTTTCAGAGTTCATGCTTCTTCTTATGGATGAAATGTCACAAATTTCAAGCTGCATTTCAATCTGTAATTGGTGTAGAATAATTAGGCCCAGGTCTAACTGGTCAAAATTGTAATATTGATATCTTTCTCAATGCCGAAAAAGTATTCAAAATGCTACTTTATTGTTTTTTCTTTTTTTTAAACTCTAAAAGTTGCATATTCTCAAAATGTATTTTAAAATTATCTCTGTATATTGTATTCAGTTCATTGTATTGAAAGATCTAATGAATTTATAATTCCTGTATTTCAGACTTTGAATGAAATATGACAAAATGTGTCAAAGATTTCCAAAAGAACACAAAAAAGCTATTTTAATTGACACATGGCACCTGAAGTTACTAAACTTGTGTTAACTGTGCCTTGTGTTAACTGTTGCTAAACAACTTCTGGTATGAAGCAAGTAAAGTATCCCACTTGATTTAGACATGGAAGCATGTGTAAATCCCCAAGAATCTCTGAGACAAAATACCCCAGTTTTTGCTGCCCTACACAGCATGTCAAAAGCACCTCTAGGTTGAGTTGTGAAATATTTGAATGTTTGCATGATATTTTTGTACATGGATTTTGAAACAGCTGCAATAGCAAAACTGCAATGAAAAGAGCCTGACTGAGTTGCCATGTATGCGGCATGCCTGTTACCTGTTGTAGGATGGTGTTTGTTCCTCCTCCTGTTTGTTTGTATCATCATATTCCTAACTGTGGGATTAGATTTGAATAAAATAAAGAGCTTGGACTCTGCTGTTATCATGACTGTTCTTTTACATCTGTTTTTAGTTCAGATGCCATTTCTATTTGTTACTTTTAGTGTGTCAGAAGAGTCTTATCCTCTCTGCTGATTCTGCTTCATCTTCTTTGCGGTCAAGGAAATGCATTTGTTGAGTAATGAGTAATTGATATAGAGCAATGACACGCTTAAGTATTTTTTCCCCTTTATGCATGTCTGAAATAAAACTGGCATTAGAGAATAAAAACAACATGATGAAGTTACTGTTGCTCCACATTGCTTTAGTTTCTGATGTCAGCATGTGGATACTCATCTGTGGCACTATGCGGCTAATTCACCATGTCACTGGCATAAGAAGAGGGACAGTAGCCATATAGGAATGGTGAAAATGAACATGGAGTTATCACTTGTTCTGTAAGATAAACTTTGCTCCACCGTTTGGCTCTGAATGACTTAAGCAGGAAGGCAGCAAAAATGCTAAATGAATATGTAAATTTATGCATTTCCTTCCGGATTATGTCAAGATGTTGGTGTGCCTGAAATTAAATCGGTAACAGCATCTGACATCCCGGAAGAACTAGTAATACATGCTGAAAATAGCGTCACTGAATGTGAAGCAGTATCTATCTCACAGTGAGAATAAATTAGCGATTATGTTTCACAGACTTTTGGTTTTAATATTTAAAATAAATAAACACAAGATGCCAAAATTCTGGCTATGCCATGGATTTTTTAATTAAGGAAAAACTATATATATGTTTTTTTTTGTGCTCATGTTTTAAGAATGACAAAGAACTATGCCAATCTCTTTTTGGCAAGTGTGATACTTATAAAGAATTTCAAAATAGTATAACGTAATCCTAGAGTTCTATGGGCTTTTGAGAGCAATCATTTTTAATTTTCAACAAGAGCTTTAAGAGCACTTGTTGGTGTTGAAAACTGAGGAGTTGGCATTTCTCTAAAGCCTTGAAATTATTATTATTTATGTTCACCTATGATTTTACTATGGGACTACTTTTCTAAGGAGAAAACGTGAAAGGGAATGGATGTTTGTACGAATACTGGGCCTAGATGTTGTGAAGAATATAAACTGGCCTGCAACATTGATCTCCCAACTTTTTACAGATTGAAGATTTCTATATTGCCATATATTCAAACGTGCCAAGAGGAGAAACATATCTGGGACAGTAGAGTCAAGCAAGAAAAATAATGAGCTTCTCCTCTTTCAGAGGCATTATATCTTACATATACAGTCAGTGAGTAGGGAAAAAAATGCTGGAAGTCACAAGACTTAGTCTTTAACTGCCTTCCCTCTTGCCTCCTTATCCAAAAGTACTATGCATAGTTTTGTGTGTGTGTGTTCTTCATTTCTCTACTTTCACCTCCACTTATACCCGCTTAATTCCAAGTAGAAGATGTGTAATTCCATATAAATCTGGATACATCACTGTATTATATGTGATAAATTATTCCAGACAATAGTGTCATTTTGTAATGGCAAATTAGTAGAGAACAAATCAAACATTTATTTCTGCTTCAATTTAACACAAAGTCAACCAGGTATTAATCAATGAGATGTCAAAAAGAAAGAGAAAAAAAAAAAACAGACTGGCAGTTTGACAAAAGAAAGAGAAAACATGTCAGGCTTAACATAGCCCCCAATTAGAGGAGCGGTTAAAGTGTTTAAAAGCTGTTGCTGAGAAACAAAATTGTTTCCTGTGAACCTTTGGACTGATTAAGTGGAATTTATCACAATAGCTGCATGAATAAAGCAAAAATGTCTGAACAGTGTCAGCTCTTTTAGGAGGCAGATTCCTCTTTTAATAATTCTGATAAATTGATGCTCTACATGTTGGAAGATTAATATTTTAGGTAAAGATTAAGGCAACAAAATATGATGAAAATTATTTTTTTAAATGCAGCAGTCTTTAAAACATATTTTTATTTTAGAACATATTAGTAGATAGGCCTGGCAATGTTGTTCCAAAACTTTAAGTTAAATATTTGATCAAAATGATCACTAATTTGTGCTTTTCTCATTTAGCTTTTTATCTTCTAATTTGCCATTCTCACTTGTTCGCACACTTGCCAGTTCCTGTGTTTACTGCAGTAGGACAAAGATGCACAGAGAATGCAGAAAAAAAATATTCAGAGGGGAAAATTTTGCACATTGAAAAAATAATTGTACTTTGTACATCCTCTTTGGCCCAGAAACTGAAGTCTTTTTCCAGATGACAGCAGAGTGAAAACCAGTGAAGATAGAAGCATCTCCTACAATACTAACGGCTTCCCAGCTCATGCAAAAAGCCTCCGCAAGACCTTCCACCTGCTCAGAGGGTCTTGCTGCAAAACACATGGGATTACACAGTGGTACAGCTGGTCAGGATTCTCTTGATTGTGCCTTTTAAGAAGGTGGACAGGATGGTTATAAGCTAGTGTTCTGGCTTTTCTTAGGCTGCAGAAAAAGTGAAAATGTACACAGCAATGCTGTGTTACTAGTCCAAGAGAAGTCTTCTGTGATATGATATGGACAGTTGATGTTTTTTTCTTTATTTTCTTGATGATTTTTTTGGATAAATGATCAGGTTCTTATAGGGCCATTTAAGGCATTTTGTGTCTATTCCTCAAGAAAGGTGTCAATACAACTGTTTCTAGAAATATCCAGGAAGAGACGGTTGCTGCTTAGAAGTTTTGACTCTTTTTTTCTTACTTCTTTCAGCTGCAAAGCCAGAAGAAAAAACTGAGGTTCCAACAGTGTCCGGGAAAGTGGATGGTGAAAAAGGAGAGAAGAAGAGCAAAGAGGGAAAGAAAGACAAGAGTGCCAAAGAAGAGAAAGGGGATGACAACGAGGCTTCCACAAAAAAGAAGGGTGAAAAGGGAGAGAAAGGGGAAAAGGGGAAAAAGGGGGACAAGGGGGAAAAAGAAGCATCCAGGAAAGAAGGTGGTGAAGGAAAAGGCAAGAAGAGCGAGAAAGGAGAGAAGGATGAAAAAGGAGGCAAAGGAGGTGCTAAAGGGGGAGGCAGAAAATCACAAAAGTGAACTGTGATCCCTCTTCAAGAAAAAGATAACTTTTATATTTCACTTAGCAAAAAACTATTCTTTTCTAAAATGAAGTTTGTACATTCTATTAAAAGTAAAGTTAAACACTGTCAGACACTGTTGTTACGTTTTTGAGTGGAAATCAAGGAAAAGCAGCAAAAAAATAATGAAATTACAGATTTATTGTCTTACAATTTACTGATGAACATAAGAGAGAAACCATTGTTTAGAATATTTACACTGACATCTACAAATGCCTTAATTACAGAGTACCGAAGAGATGTATTCAACCAAATACTGCCAATATATATACTACAGTTTTACACAAGGCTTTGAGACTAAATACCACTTCCACTGAATACATTTGCACATAAATAAATGACAAAACACACTTTTTACTTCCAGAGGAGGTATATAAACACTTATAACATTAGCTCTATGAAAATTCACCTTTAAATTCTGAAACACAATCTTTGTATGAAAAAAAAATCAGAACAGAATTGTAAAAAAAAAATAATAACAGGGAAAATAAAGTGCTACTATAAAAATTGCAAGCATTTCTTTCTAAAAGTACTCGGATTCTGGCTGACCTTATTACATAAGGCATTTAAACAATAATCAAACTGTTTTCACTGAACACATTTTGTTCAAGATATATTTACTATAGGAGCTTATATTTTTTGGCCCATTGCATCAGGTGAATTGGATCCCCTAAATCTTGTGTTGTAGTTGTGACTGATAAAGTGGAAGATATCTGGATTAAGGAAGTGATATGGAGTAATTTCAAAATTTCTGCAATGCTTATGTATACTTCTGTAATATCCCAGAAAATTATGTTTCTCTTAATATGCTAAGACATTATCACAAGACATTTTAACAGATTTGGTGTAAAAAATACATAAGTTGTAATCCCCCTCACCGCAAAAACAATGTGTATCTAAAACATACCGCAAAAAGTGTGTTTTTCAGTTGTTTTTGTTTGTTTTTTTTAATTGGCTACTAGTGTGCATTGCCATTATTTTAGGATGAAGGCCGTCTGTAAAAAAATTAAGTAACTTCCCTTTGTTACAGACTTTGTAAGACTTTGCAGTTTTTGTTTCCTTCGAAAACGATGGCTGAAGTACAGAAGTCTCTGAACAGATGAACAAAAGGAACTGAAACACATTAACCTCTTTTAGCAATTATGTTCATAGACTTACTGACAGATGTACTGAAAAACTAAAAAAATAAAGTATAAAATTAATTTGAGTTTGTAGTTTAAAATATGGCTGAAATGGTAGTGCATCCTGAATGCGTATAAATAATCCATCACAAGAGTTTATATTATAGGTAAAAATCTGATCTAATAATTATGGATTTCAGATTCTAAGTTCAAAACAACATCTTTGAAGACATTTCACTATCTTTGGGAGGATTTGGTAAATTTAAATTAATACTGGGCATAAATACAAAAATATGTTGAAGTGTTACATTTTTGAGGACATGCCATGCCTTTTAAATAATATGCCCTACAGTCAACCGTGCAAATTAATTACTGAGTTTAATGTTTTGTGGCATGTGTCAGTAACTGACTCCATCAATATCTGTCACATGTTAATACATTTACCACCTGTGTTTAAAGTCAACGTATAATTCCGACATTCATTTAACAGTTCAGCAAATATATGACACAACAGCTACAAAACATATACTGTATGTTTGGAACAACATTCAGCTCTTAATTCGAATGTACTTTTGAACTGCGAATGTACTGTAAACACTGCGACTTGAATGTGAACGAAAATGAAGCAGCACATTGTGGGCCTTTTGTGAAAATCCTTTATCCGTTGTATCTAGCATAAATACTACTCTTTGAATTCTTGGGGAATGTAATCTCATGGATTTAATTTTCACTTTCAAAACCTTATGACAACAAATCAAACCATTACTGTTCATGTTCTACCTTTACTTCAAATTCCACTTGAAATATTCTTACTTTGATATTCTTATTATCATTTGTGGAATGTTCACTATGTAAAGTCTTATTGAAGTCACAGGTGAATTTAATGTAAATTTTATCGAACTTACCAGATGGTTTTCTGAAAATCTTATGGAGATTTTATAAAACGTTCATCGAACTTTCAAGAAACATATTTGTGACAAGTAACATTCTTCCAAAATGCCAAAATATATACATACACTGTTGCAGTTTGTGAAAATTCATTGAAGTCAGGAAAGTACTCATTATGAGTCAACTCACAATACAGTCAAGCTCCTAAAAATGGTCATTAATTTCATTTAAAATCTTATTAAATTGTACATCAATTTATAACACAGAACAGTTCTTGTAAGTAGTGGAAAGCTGGTGGTAACTACTATGAAAGTTACATATTGTTTATATTTACTTACAGGCAAATTCGAGGAGATTCAAAAGAAAAACATTACATGTAAGGTCCATGGAGTTTCTCGGCAAGTCCCCAGAAAGCACCCAAAGATTATTCAACCTTGTAATAAAGCTTGACTCCAGAAACTACCCAGCATGAAAATGCCTGAAAATGTCAGTTTAAGGAAAGTACCAAGAAATGTCAATGAAAGTTCATATTGGCTCCATGATGTAGTGTGACCATAGTTTTTTAACAGAAAATTGGGGAATTTATAAATTCAATTCAATCCTTCATATTTTTTTCTAATTTGACTGAAATTTATATTGCCTAAAAAACCTGAAGCTGTAAAAAAAATGAAAAGAAAAAACAAACCTGGCAAAACTTCATGAACATTGAAGATTCTGGAGATGCACAATTCGATTAATCACCTCTTGAAAAGTATGAAAATAAGTGTGTGATAACAAAGGACCTCAATTACCCGAGTACCTTCCCTTTTACATTGACACAGATGTGAGTCAGTGGAGAACAAATGTGACCATGCCAATATGTAGAACTGAGGCTTTACAAATTGTAGCATTTATGAGTTTTTCTATTCATATTGAACCTTGCTGAGAAAAGTTTCCCATCTTTAATGTACAGTAAATGAGTAAGGCTGATGTCTTCTCAATCTTATGCTTAATTTATACACATTTTCCTTGTAAGCGAACAGGAAGCTATATAATCAGTCATGGCAGTGAAGTGAAAGTCAGAAACTTCACCTTGATTTAGGCTTTCACAAATTGTCTTTGGCAGATGGTGGATGCAAGGACAAAAACTATCCGCCTTTATGAACTTGCCGTCTTTATCTCTCAGCCAAGTTGAAAAATCAAGACACTCTTTTCCCTCGAGCCTCCTCAGTTTGCAGTGTGCTGGCTCAGTTTACAGGAGGAAAAGAGCCAATATTTTTGGTTCATGCAGTTTCCTCCTTCAGACCATTCAGAGTGTTCACAATTTGTCTGTTCGCTATATATGCTGTGCTCTAGAGGTCACATGACCGTCTCCCTCTCCTCCTCGACAACAGGAGTGGGTTTCTCTTCCACAGTAGGCCGTGTTTGTGCGGACTGCTCCTCTTCAGGTATGTGAAGTTCCTGTCCTGAGGAAGGCACAGAGTTCTCTGAGACCGAGCCGTTCTTGACGTAACCAGGAAGATTCCTGTGGCCGTTTACAGGCAGAGGCCCTAGCCTTGTGGTGAGATGGACGGCCAGGGGTCCTCTGGCAGTGACATTGGTTACACTGGTGTGTGATACCATTGGTCCATAGCTGTAAGTATTACTCCCACTTCTAGCTTTTCTCTTGAAATCAAGGGCCAAGGTTCTTCTGCTCCATGACTTTTTGATCTCAGCTTGTACCTTAAAGAATAATCAACTGATTTATATAAGATTACAGTCATGGACATTGAAAAGAATGTTTCAAAGCACAATTCTTACCTCCCCATTGCAAAAACAGTATATGATTGCAACTAAGAAACCCTAAAAGAGAGAGAGAAAAAAAATCTGGTTTATACATTATGCAAAATTAAGCAGTGAGCACATGCTTAATATGGCATTTAAGCTGTGTAATTTGACATTTTCTTTGATATTCACAGTTATCAGTATCCCTGCCATTTTCTGTATCTTAATGAGGATCTTCTAAGAAATCGGTAATCAAACAATGAAAAACAGTTTGACAATCTGTAGCTGTTGAATGATGATAACATAAACCTTGTGGACAAATCCCAGTCAGGTCAAACTGATTTTTGTACCTGGAAGGAGTTGAAAAGCATCTCGTAGTGCATCTGTATCAACCATGGTATTCCAGAGACCTCTGTGTATGGCATGGCATGAAATATAATGTAGTGGACTCCAAACAGTGGCATCAGCACCAGCGTAGACTTCAAGAGCTTTCTGCAACAGAACATTTCACAGCCTAAAGATTATTTTCAAAAGAAAAGCAACAACATTAAAAATAGCAAAAACAAGTTTCAAAAATGCAAACTTTGTAATTATAGCTACTCTCACACTTTTGCTCACCCCACTACATTTGTTGTCATATGTGAACATGAAACATAAGTGGGGTGAGACATGAAGAAAGACATTTTAAGATGACACGATCATCTTGTGGAAAGAGATGAAATAGGTCTATAAAATGACCAAAATCCCACATATGGCCAGATATTCCAACTATTTGAAGAAAAAATGTTTTATTGTTTCCATAAGTTAATTGTGGGCCTCCTCCTCTTTGCACTTCTAAATTAATCTTGATGTGTGATCCTGTAACACTGATGTGATATTTGCAATTACCAACATATTCTAAAAGAAAAATTGTGTAAAAATTGTATTTTAAAAAATGTTTGATTCTATTTTAGGTGTAATAAAGAACATAAGACATGCAATTCCATCTACTCCCATTGAAGAGGGCTTGCTGTTGGCAAACAACACATGACAAACCAATGGAGAAGGACAGCTTCAGGAATTCTGAATCAAATGTTTCTAAGACTTCTCCATACCTGTACTGTTGTCTGGTATCACATCTCCCAGCATTGGTTTCTAGTAGCTTAGTTGCCAAGACTCTGATGATGTTCAAAAATAAAATAAAATTAATCTGAAGAGAAAGTAGAAACATAATGTTAGGATTAGGTATAATTGGAAACATAATAAGCTCTTTCTCATTCAACAGTTGTTAGGCCACAGGTGCCGTCAAGTGGTGTAATTTCCTGCACACCAAGGAAATAAAGTACAAACTGGAAGCATATACTTACCACCACCGCCACCAGAATAGGCACTTGATATATCCATTTCAAATTGCCTGCACTTAAGTCCCAACACCTGCAGAAATAAACAGCAAGATGAGTAGGTAAGGGTTCAGGAAAAGCTAAAGAAGGGTTAAGTGGGTAAGCAGATTCAGAATCTCTCTTCTCCACTTTAGTGTCTTAAATGATATCTGGCATTGATTCACGATGTAATAGGAATGAGACAGAGATTTGACAGGACATTGTTTTTGTCCCCCATCTTCTCTAGATTTATAACACCTCCAGACACAAGTGTTATATGAAAACTAATTAGATTTTTCAAAGCACTCATATTAAAGTTCAGATTTTAATCCCCCTTGAACTGATTTATTCCTCCTGAGATTCAAATACATCTCTCCAACTTGTTCTGTGTCATTCAAAGGGCTAAGGAAATTGCTCGCTTGCTGGGAATTAAAATCACTAAATATTCCATATATTGATTCTGAATCCGCTCCTTTCAGTTTGATACTCATGCATCTAGATCTAAGCACTATGCTGTCTCTGTGCTGTTTTACAGCTTCAGGGAAATGCTTAAGTTGTAAATGTCATGCTGGGCTGTTTTTTTTTCTGCCCCAAAAGACCTGGAATGTAAGCAGAAATTATCTTTGGGACTTCAACCCACTTAGAAGGAAAATATGTGGTCTAGTTCCATTCAACAGGTGCTGAACACAGTGTCAGTCGGTCCTAACACAGATCAAAGCAGACACTCAAGGTGATGGTAATTATCGGAGGGTTTTGATGTTTAACCTTGCCATTGTCATTTTTTGCCTGATGAGTTGGACTTTTGAGAGTGGATCACAACTTCTCTCCATTTATTTTATGTCAGCTTCAAAGCTTGACTTTAAATTTAATTTTTCCGGTTCAGGTAGGGGCAGCAGGAATTGAGACCAAAAGAAGTGAATTTTAGTCAGTGACTAATTCTTTTTATCATTTTTTTAGGGAAATATAAGAAATAAAAATGTTACAACCTTCTCTTAGACAGCTGCACAGTGGGTAATAATACATTACTTTCTTGTCTACAAAGTTAGCTGGAGTCACTTTTAAAAGGTTTTTAATAGTAGATATTAAATGATGAAAAATGTCAGACATTCAAACAGTAAACCTTTTTTAAAGTCTTAGTGTACCTTGATGCCAGTGACTGGCCAATGGCTAATATATGATTTGCAAAGTCCATTATTCTGACTGAAACTTTTTTAAGATACTATCTAAACAAGGAAATATGAACAAAAACATCAAGGTTTTCCTACACCAACTAACCAGTGAGTTTGAGAATCATTCATTCATTTAAATATTTCTTAATTCACATCCCAAGGTTTTCGCAATAAGTAGTAAATTCAGATTTGTGGCATGACAAAATTACACATTTAAATGCCAAATAAATCTGATGCCTTTATTAAGCATTTTTGGACTTTGACATTCAAAGAGAATAGCTAGAAATACTGATGACATCACTTTTCAGTAAATATTGCAAATGCTCATGGTAAAGGGTAAATAGTAAGTGCAATGCACAATTAATGCAAATCATAAGCAATTTTCTAATTATATGTTGTATCTCTAGTTAAAAGTTATTTTTTTTACCTTTTAAGATTTACCGAATTAAATAAGGTTCAAGATAAAAATTGACCTCCAAGGTGCTGGCCAGACTATAGAACATATAGAAACTTAAAAATACTTAAACTATAAACAGAGGCTTGATTCAAGATCATTAATCATCAGCTTCAAGGAACATCAGCCTTATCAGATAAAAATTTGACAGGAATAATAGGGATATTAATTATGCAGATCACTTACTCTGTGTCAGCAAGCGTGGCTCTCACAGTGGCCCAGATTGTCACAATCACAGCTGGTACTCCTAGAAAATTAATTAGAAAAAAATTCTAATTTGCTTTCATGTAAGCATATTCTGAAAAGTGTCCAAATTGCTATGTTCGATTATCTTGTATGAGTGGAAATTGGATAGGACAGCATCCACATTGTATGCGCTGTGCTTATGTGAACTATACGCACAGTGTGTACAATGCAGGAACCGTAAAACCCACGTTCAAACAGAGATTTTACTCACTGCTTTTACTTTTTTCCATAAATCAATATCATCAATGATATTGTGACAATGTGACAATGCTTCCTACAGCTTTTAACTTTTTTCATAAAAGTGAAAAAAAAAAAAAAAAAAAACTCAGACATTTTATAATTAATAAAGTTTGTTTGATCAAAAGTCAACTGTCTAGAACTAGTAACAATCTTCATGCAGGTATCTTGCAAAAAAGTTTTGAATTTTTTTATTTCATGTTACAGCAATCTTCAAGCAATAGATACCGATTATGTGGGCACTGACACTTTTCATTGATTTACATGGACCGGAAAATTTTTACCATGTAAAAATCTAAAGAGTCTGGCAAACATTTCTATCCTGTCCCACTTCCTCTTCAATATCAAAATAAAATCCTGTGCAATCAGTGGGCTTCTTGCATGAGATTTGTTTTCCAACTATATGTATACAAATGTATACCATGCTTTTTCTTTCTAAGAATCTTTTTTTTTTTGTAAAGTATCTTGAAAGTCATTTCTTTTTTGTTTTTCACTTCACAATTCTTCACTAATTAGTGTGGGTCAATCCAATAGGTGCAATATAAAAGTATCAGAACTCACCCCATCCAATCAGTGTAAATCCCCAAAGATACTTTTTGTCTGAGAAAAAAGTCATAAAAATGAGACTGTGCAGGTAAAGGCCCTCCACAAGAATCCAGTAGTAATTGGTCGCCAGAAAGTACATGAACAAGGTCACCACCACCTTGCAGGTAATCTATTAAAAAAAAGCAGACACAGCAGAGCAAATTAATCAACAGTCATCATGAAAAACCACCCAGGTGAATTATTTTGATGTCCTTGGTTTGCTATTATGTTTACCGATTCTAATCTTGTCGATGTCTGCTAAGAACTTAGTTCAACTCTAGAGTCCAACATTCAAATATCACTTGAATCGCAATAACAGTGTCAAGTTAATTATGCAACTCCAAGTAACTGTCATGATTCTTGAGTGGCGCATCTTAGCAACACACAGGAATCAGTTGAAATGAACTGAATTAAAACACAACCAAAGCCAACTTAAAATGCACTGAATGAAGTAATTCTCAGAATTAATTTATTGCTATCACTAATGCTTATAAACACCCAAGATTTCTCTGAATTTTTGTCAGATATCCTCATGGTTAAAAACAAATGTGGCACACTGTAGCATTATTTCTAATTAAGAAACTCTCAGTTCCATGAACTGTTGCAGAGAGTACAAAATTAAAAATGTTGTTTTGCAAGGATTGTTTTGTTTTCCCTCATTTAAGCTCCTAGAAAGCCTTTTCTCTTTGCTTCTTTTTTCTTTACATGCTTTATTTATCCTTCTTTCCCTAACCTCATGCATTATTCCCATCTTGCCTGTATTTACATAGTTATTGGTGCGTGCTTTCAGTTAGCGCTCATCAGTCATGTTATTTGATCCAGACTACAATTATTTTTCTACTAATTAACCAAACTGACTGCTTTTTCTAATTGAAGTTCTTGCTCTCAAAATTTTATCATAGCGCATTAATATAAAATAGTTCAGATCCTTGTCATGAAAATAATTTGTGTTGTGGATGTGTCATACAGCAAAAATTGAAACTGAACTAGCAAACCCTTCATTTAAAAGCAACTTTAAACAATGATCTCTCAGAAGAAAATCTTTCTTTTGATACAGCCATCCCAGTTTCTTGAAAGCTACATCACAAAATGCATACCTTTTAAAGGAATGTATGCAAAATTGTTTTGGCATTGCCTTTAAGCTCTCTTTCTCTAATCTAGAGCCTCAATTAATTATGAAAGACAAAGCTTTTCCCATGTCAACTTTATCGGACAATTTCTATCATTTTTCATTTACATAAAATATGCTAAAGCTTTGAGTTAATCATCACAGAGAAACATATAGTAGAAGGTGTGCATGTCTGCAGGTTTTACTTGTAGCTACTTTTAATCTTTTAAAAGGAAAAAAATTAATGCTTTTATGTAGCTGCCTTGTAGGAAGAATAAGGAATCCTACTTAATTTGAAAAACAAAAAGAATTAACATTGATGTAGAAATACATATATATTGCTTTCTCAGTCTAAAGTAAAAATCCACAAATACTTTGACAAAATGTACACTTCTGATAATAAGTCAAACTTATTTTATATCAGCACAGATGCATTGCTGTGTACTGACATCATATGGATGTGTCACAGATGACAAGATTGATTTAGCCATTGACTGATTTGACTCAAAGTGAGGTCAAACCTCCACATGGCTGCAGCTATTGCTGCAGCACTGGTGTGTCGTCATTAATAGCTGTGAATCCAATGTAATCTTTCCCTGCTGCTAACATGTCACTGGTGTCTTCTTTTAGCACATCCCTTTGTGATTTATTATTGATATACTCTTTAAAAGTTCAGATTGTCCAATTGTTTTAGAGAGGAAACTTCCTCATGTACACTTAAATTTTTCATATGCATCGATCTTGCAGGGTCATAGCTGGCCTAAGCTTCCATTGGTCAATGGGTGGGGAGCATGCTATATTCTAAAAAGCTAGTCAGAAGATCACAAAGCAACACAAGATGGACAAACAATAAGACACTGAGACATACTTTTGGCCAATTTATGGTGACCAGTTAACCTTATGCAGAGAAATATGGATGTGGCCTCTTGTAATTGTCTTCCTTGTCGGGACTGACCTAACTTTAAGTCTGACCCTGCACCTTCTAATTTAAAAGATCTGAATTTGTTTGTTATAGCACTGCTTTTCTCCAAATACCTTCCAAGTGTTTTCATTGGACTATTGGTCTACTTATAATAACAACTGATTCCATTTAGGTGGTATCCAGGAGTCCAAAAATATACAATTGGAGGTTTTGTCACTGAGTTGGGAACCATTGGCTTATGAGGCTGATTGATTTTTAACAGATTGTGAGACTCATTGATTTATGAACCTTAGTAAAATGTGGCTTTCCAAACCCAAGACATTCTTTCTGTGAGGCAATAGTGCTAACAATTGTGGAGTCATCCTGCCTGGAACTTTTCATAATGTAGTTTTTACATATATTACAAAATTTGTTTATCTTTTAGTTTTTATTTGTGATTTAGTAACATATGATATAGAAAAGACCAGTTTCTGCATTCATTTGGATATTTACTTTTTTTTCTATTAACTTGAATGATGGTTTGAATTAATTAATACAGCAAGCCAAAATACATGCATAAAAAAAAACAAGTTCAAAGCTTCTGTAGTTTGTTTTGGTTGATTTAGTTAAACACAAGGAAAGTTGTGACCTGTAAGAATATATTACACAAATGTTTGTATTTTAAGGTAACTGTGAAAGGTAAACAGTAATTTCCCATTTTCTAGCTTTACTCTGAAAGGGGAAGCCAAGTGCTGGCTTAGTAAAATCCTGGCAGGGTGAAAGACAGGGCAGTTCATTTTCTCCAATGCAGGAAAAGTTGGTGAGTTTTAGGCCATGCATCACTTCCACCTCGGAAGCAGAATGCTAAACTCTAGTGAACATTGATACTCAAGTAATCTGTGTGCAAATAGATCTCACAGTTGATCGTGTACAAATAGGCATGCCTTTGACCACACATAAAAACAGTTTCTATGTTCCTGCATTTACTAAAGGACTCATGGGATTAACTTACAAACTGTGTTTTGCTGGCAGGTGGGGCTTCAGTAATGGACTTGAAGTCCTCCATTGTGACTCCCTCCATGTTCTCCAAAGCAGATCCAGGGTAGAGAACTATATCTTTCACAAATATGCTTACAGCTCGTAGCATGTAGGACACAAATAAGTGCATATGGATGTAGTTTCTGGTGCAGTGCAACCGTCTGGGAAAAAAAAAAAAAAAAAAAAAAAAAACATCAGCAAGGTTATTTACTAAAAAAATGTTTTTAAACAGTTTCAAAAGTTTTATAAAAGTGTGCATTAGTGTCTGAACGGCCAAAACCACATCGAACATAAACTATGCTCATCCTAATTAGAGCCAGCTGAATTCTGAGCTGACTATAACACATTCTTCAGTTTTAGGAAAAGCACGGTTATCAGATCGCCATGCTCAAATTAAAGTGTAAAACAAATTGTAAGCATGTGTGCAGCAGTTGGAGAAGTATGCAAATTTTATCAGTCTCAAACACTTCCAGAACATCCTAAACATTCCTTGCGGCTTGACCTTTGGCGTCACGATCCGCTGGGCTCAATTTGCTGGGTCAATAGACTTTAAGGTTAAGTTATTACAGTAAAAAAATGGCAAAGGAAATATTTGCTGACTATTTATTGGTGCCAACAATTTTAAGGCTACACGTCTACCAGAGACAGAAATGAAACTGCTGTATCCACCATCAGCTCTGTCCACAATTTCTTTCACTAAATCTCATTAATGAACTGACAAGGTGCCCTCAGAGGACTATTGATTCAGGAAAAACCAATCCAGCACACATCCCAGGTGAAAAAAAAAGGCCCTGCAAGCAAGTGCTAATGTAAAATATCCCTTTGCTCCCTCTGGAAAATGTTTATGAGCTCTCCTTTCTAAAAGCTGATGTGTTGAAGGGGGGACATGGCTGTTGCACTTCGCAGTCTGGTGCCAGAATGTCAGATGGGCCCCTGGGATAACTTATTAAACTCATTTGGCACGTATACTTCCTGGTGCCAGTTGGAAGCATTCCTAAAACCTTTCTGACTGACTGTGTGTACTGTAAGTTACGTCAGTTGGAACATTAGTAAACAGGGCCTTTACATCGATTCTTGATACTCCCTGTGCCTCACAAAATAAGCAAATACTGACCAATCTGCTCAGCGTGAAACAAAATGGTCTAAATTCAACCTTGTTACAGACTTTTTCTCCATTTCAGAAGTAAGATTTTAAGAAAAATAAGTAAAATAAACTATAAAGCCGAGGAAAAGTATTCACAAAACTTTTTCACTACAGGATTTTTCATTGGGAATTTAAGGCATAAACCAAAAACATAGTTTTTAACTGGAAGATTTATTTTTAATTGGTTGGCTTGCAAAAGCAAAAAAATCTCTAACAAGTCACTTTACTATGTTACTCCTAAATTAAGTCCAGTATAACCAATTGCCAGTGAGGTGGAGGGTCACTTTCAAACAGGACAACAACTCAAAGCCTTCTGCCAAAGATACAATGGAATGGATTAGATAGAGGCTGGCCAAGTCCAGGCTTTGAGAGCTACTATACTACTCCTAATAGTAGGAGTAGCTGCTTTACTACTCCTACTATTAAACAAATTCTTTGGGTTTAACACCTGAATCTAGGTCTCTTCAGAGCTGCATGAGATGTCAAGGAGGTAATTCTGAAATATAAGTCAGGTGTGCTGGAGCAGGGATGAATCTCGCAGTTGGAGGACAGCTCTCAAGGATCGGACTTGTTAAAGGTGGCGTGAAGAAGTGTTTGCCCTCTTCCTGATTTCCTTTTTTCATGTATTTGTCACTCTAAAGTGTTCCAGAACATCAAAGTACTTTACATATTAGTTGAAGACAACACAAGTAAGCATAAAATGCATTACTTAAAGGGAGGTGTTTATTATTAAGGGATAAAAAATCCAAGCCGACATGCCACGCCCTTGCACCACCACCGCAAATCCTATTAAGATGCTGTGTCATAACCTCAAAAGCCCTCCTTGCCACTGAATTACAACAATTCTGCAAAAATGAGAGGGCCAGAAGTCTCCCACAGCACAGTAAAAGATTCATTGCAAGTTATCACAAATGCTTGATTGCAGTCTTTGCTGCTGAGGGTGGCCCAACCAGTTATTAGGTTTAGAGGGCAATTACTCTTTCACACAAGGCCATGTAGGTTCAGAACAAGAATGGGTAACAAATTTCAAACTTAAGATGTGATTATGTCTGTCATTACTTTGAAAGATGACTGTGCAGAGTATTGATTCCGGTGAACTTTGAAACTGCATGTAACCCTTTTTGGATTTTTATTTGTAAAAGGAAACACCTGAGAAGGATCAATTTTGTACAACTTTAAGTTATATTATAACAGAAAATTCACATAAAACATTACATTTTATCCCATAGAAGGAGATAACATGTATTCACAGCCCTTGATAAAATTTGAGGACTGTTTATTCTTGCACCGCACTGTCAGCACCAATTTGGACATTTTTTATTACAAAACCAAACATTTTGAAGCAACATTTTATTCTTAATTGTTTCTATACAATAATGATTTCTTTCTTAGCACACATACAAAGTCTAAACATCAGAATCCAGCATGAAAATTTAAAAAGGTTGTAAATGTCAGGCAATGAGGTCTGTATTATTGCAAGCCAGGAGGTAGTCAGTGCTTGAGACGTAATCAGATTGTATTCTGTTTAAAGTCAAAGTGAACATCAAATGTGGTGTTTAATACAGTTTGCACATGTAATGCAGCATATGCAGTATTACGTTAATTCCTTAATAAATGGAAAATAGTGTTTTTAAATGACAGCTCGATTTAACAATCATCTTGACATTTATGTGCTCCTTGCATGACTAAAAAAATCCACTCACTATTATTAAGCATCAAACTTCCTGATGATCCACCCTTAGCGTCTCACCTGGTGTCAAAATCTGTCCCTTGGGAACATCTGAGGTTAGAAGAATAAAAGAAGGGAACGGAGTAGACTCACCGAAAATATCCCAGGATGACAACAGCCACCATAATTGAGCCCAAAGAGATGGAGTATCCAACGGTATAGATGATGTACAAACGGTGGAAAACCTCCTGTGAAAGATAAATATGCAAAGCGTCAGCACAGCACCTATTTGAGAGATATGTTTGTTCCTTTTAAAATGTTGATTTAGTGCAAGTTTTGACCCCAATCCCTCATATTCTATTAGGGAGATTTAAAAAAATATATTTTCTATTCAAACATTATAGGACAACCTATTCTGTGAGGTAAATATAAGAAGTTGACACATCATCAACATCTGAAGTAAATGTGTAAGCAAAGAAATAGTGCAAGCCATAATGAACAGACATACAACTGAGTTCATTTGCATATTCCCAACATTAATTAGGGGAATCAAATCATTTTTGAAACAAACTGTTGTAAATGCATAATGATATTGATCTCAATATTTTTATGCTGCACCACAAATCCAGATATGATTTTCAAGCAGAAATAAAAGAAACCCAGATTTTTTTATTTTCTTTTAAGTATGTTATGTTTGTTTTTTTAACAGTTTGATCACCATAAGATCCTGACTGTCACAGATTATTTTTGATCTGTAGAGAATGAATCTACATATCTTTAACACGCCAGAGACCAAAACAAATGTGTGCTACAGCTCCCGAATGAACACACCATATGACTTGGCAAATTCATTTGAAAGCACCTTTATACACAAGGTAGATCAAAGGGCTCTCCATAAATCAAAGAACATATATGAATACAACAAATACATAAAAAGAACAAATGAAGCTTTACATTAAACCATACAAGCATGAAATATAATCATATAAAAAGAAAATAATTCTTCCCACTTTTTCAAAATACTATGGTTCAACTTGTGCATTTTTTCTACAAAAATATAACAAATAAAAATAACATAAGTTCCATTTTTTCACAGTTTGAGAACCACAGTCAAACAGTCAATAACTTTTGTATAATGAGTACTTGCATCATTGTAATCAAAGTTTGTTCTTAAGGGCTTGGTCAATTTATTCCTACCCTGTCAAAGAAAAATGTCAAGTTTTGAAATGTGAAAGCAACATGCAGTAGTTGCTTGGCAGGTAGGAACTGGTAAACTGATCCTCTACCAAAACCTCTACATCAATATGCTCAGAAGCCAATGAACCTCTTGAAAGCTGTGCTGCTGTTATCATTTAGTATCAGGATCTTGAGCCAGGAAAAACGTGTCTCTCAGTTGTGGCAAGGGTCTGCGGTATGGCAGCTTTTTCTGTGCATGCTTCACTCTGTGCATATTTATTTCTGATTAACTACTGGAAGTGCTCCTTGGGGAAAAAGTCAACTTCCGAAGACATTAAAGCGACAGCTGTACAGTTCTTTTTAGAAGCTAAAAGGAGAGAGAATCAAAGTTTAGAACACATTAACACTATTTGAAAAGTGCCTTTGACTTAAAAGTTTGGAGGTTGTATTTTAAATGAGTCATGAATACAAACATAACTAATATCAGGAGTACTAAATGTATCTTCTATAAAGATACAATAGCATCTAAGTGGGAAAATGAGACTAATAGAAAAAGGTAAGAACACAGAATTTACAATGATAATGTGTTATTCTCTTTTTTTGCAAGTTTTATTATGCTAAATATATGCTATTGCATATTTATTGCTCCATGTCCTCATTACAACATGTGGACTATAACATACTTTTATGATGCATTAAAAAAAGTAATTTTAGCAGCTAGTGCTAAACATCATCTCAATATTGGTCCTAATTGTGTAATTATTGCTTTTTCTCTCCAACCATTAAGACAGAACAAGCTAAAAATACCCTCAAGTCAAAACATGAGGACGCATATTGTCATTAGGGGAAAAAACAGTTCAACATGGATAAAACTACATCTGTGGACTTACTCTGCTTATACTCTTATCTAACTGCACTGAAAGATGATTAGTAAAGACATAACAATAACAATAACACAGGTAGAATTTCAAAGATTTTGTTAATGTCTTCATGGCCAAAGTGAGAGCCACTTGACTTTCAGATCTAGGTCCCAGCTTCTCATATTATATCAAACTGGTAGTTTTTGTCATTTAAATATATGTATCTACACTGGAATTCCAATTAAAATAATGTCATACATATTAGCATTAGCTGCATCAAATTTTAGAAGATTAACAGCATGTCTAAAGCAGTGCTAGGCCAATGACTCCCAAAAATTGTAATTGTAAATTGTGTTTTGCTGACACTGATCACCTGTCCACTCAGGCATTAACTTGTTCAAGTTACATTTGTACCTTATTGGAAACACAGGCAGGAGAAGGTGATACAGAAGTGGAATAAACCTATATAAAATGCCATTCTGTTGTGGTTGTGATTTCTAACATCGAAAGGAAATGCGATCCTGCAGACTTGACTTCTATATTGGTGCTGCTTTTGACCAGGAAACTCCTATAAAATATTTTTAATCTCAATGACACCCAATTCAGTGAAAGTTACAAACCAAAAAGGACATTGTTTTTAACAATCTCTGTGAATTCAGTTATATGCAACATAAACTGTGATTGAAAGAAACTGAATCTTTTGAGTGTGGACGAAATCTGCAAACAGCTCAGAAAATGTCAGTTTTGATAAAAGTGTGAACAGGACTTTGAAAAATCCTGTGCAGAGCCCTGACAGAAACTCCATCAAACACCTTGAGGATCTGGAATGAGTTGCAGCCATGTCGCCTTACCAATCATTTGAGGCAAACAGCAGTAAGACTTTTTTAGCCTTAAGACTGTTCTATCTATCTCTCTCATTCTCTCTCTCTCTCAAACCGCAAAACTAGTATAAAGAGAGGAGCTACAGTGTTTCAACACCAACTTCTTTTTGAGCAGTATAATTTGTATGTCATATTATTAAATCAAAGAAATAAGACAATGCTGCATATTTGAGCAGGAATTTAGCTAATTAGATGCATTTTCAAAGCACAACCACACTGCCACCCTCTCATTATCTCTAAAAATTAAACTCATAACATAATAGTTTATTAATGCTGCACAATAATGAAAAAATATACTGTAATGTGTTACTCATTTCACAGGAATTCTAATTACATGTTTTTGTTGTGTAACTGAGGATGGTTGCAATGTCTTGAGTATGAGAGTTTGGCCTGTTGGTGCATGGCTGTTGCTCATAATTAGAATTAGGGATGCAAGCAGAAAAGATAAGCGTCCCACCTTTTCATGGATATAGTCGTGAATGTGGAGGAATTTTGAACATTCACTATAATTGGCCCATGTTTTGTTGACTGAGACGAGCTCCCACGTTCCATTGCTGTCACAGCGACGGTATGCCAGTCCTACATACCAAAAGGATGAGAAGAAAAAAAAAACATTAGGTTTTAATTATAGATTCAAGCTGCATAATCAACCAAGTCTCACAGGAGAAATATGTAAAACATCAGTAACTATCCTAAAAATCACAATTAAAGTGCAGCATGTTTTTATAAGCCGGCGTTTTGTATTATTATTTGTGTTTAGGACAGTGGATACATAAACTAAAACCTGCAGAAAACATGTACAGCCATGTGAAAAACGGGACGCTATGACTGCCTGTGGGTTTTTCTAACATCGTTAGACATATGGATATCTTATATAAAATTCAAGTACTATAAATGATCTATGAAAAAGTCATTTTCAATTATTTTTGGAAAGGGCAAAAATGCCTTTCTAATAAGGAAAATCATTCTGAAAGAAGCATACCAATTTTAAATCACTTACATTTAATTTGGTTTGCTCCTGGCTTAAAATGAGCTCATAAATCTGGTAAAAGGATTTAAAGACTCAAAAAAAATCTTGAATTTGTTCACATTAATTCTCATAAATGTAAAATCAGATAGAGGCAGCACAAGTTTAAATCCAGAATTCCCAAAGAACAATGAGTTCAAAATATGAAAGGGCCAATTTACATGTAAATTAAGAAAAGGGTTTTCTATCAAATTAAATCAATTTAAAAAAGTCACAACTCTGGAGACCAAGTCCTACCTTTGTGATTGAAGTCATGAATATAGTCTGGACACAATGTGAACACAAGGTCTCCAGGATGTCCTTCAGGCCAACACACAATGCCATCCCACTCTGGTGAACAAAAGCCATCTGAGGACAAAAACAACATTGACTTAAAAAAAAAGACCACAAAGCTCTGCTCTCTGCTATGATTACAGTATTACAACAAATCTCAACTAACATACAGAAGAGCAGCAGTGGTGTTCATTTTTTAGGGTAGTGTTTTCTTTTTAAAAAGTAGGCCAGTCCCTCGAGTTGTGTGTTTATGTAAATTAGAAGCAACCGTGTAATTTGCGGTGAGTCTGACAGTAAATAAGACCTTTTTTTGTGTTGAGTCAAAGGAAAGTAGGGGTCGTTCAATGAAACGCACACTCTCACACTACTTCCCATTTGTTGCAACATAATCGTGTTCCCAGTATGTTGACAACAAGGTGCCAATTGAATCTACTGTGTTTGTTAACACAATAATGGTTTATGAATTGCTCTGATTTTGCTTAATTTGATTTTAAAAGCCACATCTGGCAGTTGCGCCAAGTTTCCATAAGTGCTTTATTGTTTTGAGAATCATACAAGTTTTCTATTGTATAGAAATGGTTTCAGCATGGATCTAATTTATAAACTTTTTTCTGCAAAACTGGCTGCATAATAGCACTCTAAATGGACTATTATGGATAAATTTAATTACTGTGCGACATAGGTTACTTCTAGGTCTATCCATTTATCCAACTATTGAGAGATAGTCTGGTAAATAGAAAGCTTGTTGATCCCAGGATGTAATAGTGGGAGTAGCATTCTTTTCTCCACAAAATCATGGCAAAATTCCCTCTCAAGGCTTGGCATTTATGTTGTCTTATTGAAAACATCTGACCACTCTGACCACTAATAAGTAGCTGTACATAAAACTTAAATGATCCCGTCTTTGCAGTAGATCCATTATTTTCTCATTCCTTGAGTGAGTTGCAAAGAACCATGTGACGCTACAGCGACTTGCATTTTATTCGTTTGTCACTGAGTGCATGAAATTAAAGGGTAGACTTGGTGGAGCTGACTGATTCCTGTAGATCATTGGTGGGAGAAAAACATAGTTTAGTTTCAAAAATCACACTGACCACACATCCTGGAAGTAAAAGTAGAAAAGCTGCTTTCCTTTTGCCATAGATGTTATTACCATAAAGACCACCTACTTACAGGCTTAAATTAAACACCAAAAAAGACACACACACAAGTGTGCAATTTCCCGTAAATTTCTTGACCACGATTTAAATATAAACGTGACTATGAAGGCGTTTGGGTATTAGTGATGTCACTGGGGTTTTTAGAAAGTTTTCTTTCCCCCCCTAACCCATTTGATTCCAAGCTGCAGATGTCAAAACACATTTTGCATTTTCTCCTCATACATACGTTCTTTTATAATGATCCCCGGTGTTGTTCTACACCCAAAACCACAAGCTTCAGGGCTGAGCTATTTTCACACTGGCAAGGTCTGGCGATTTGATCCCACATCCCTCCACTGTCCTCTCCAGGCAAACCTCAATGCTCCCCCTCAAGGAAAACATTGTCTCAGCAATGTAATGATGACTTTTGTCTATTTAAAGAATCCAAATCAAATGCAGTGCTATCAAAACATTGTAGAAAAATTATGAAAAAGATCAAATATATATATATAATATACAGTGCTTTGTGAAAGCACTGCTACTCTTTAAACCTTTTTCTGTTATTTTCACATTGCATCCACAAACTGGAACTTTATGTGACAAAATTAGAACAAAACAGTGAAAAGAAATTAAAATAAATATTCAAGAATTTGTATTTATTTATTCATTTATTCTAATTAAACTACTATCAAACCCACATGATACCCTTTGTTGCTTAGGTTGTATGTTTGAGGTTGTCTTATTGGAAGTGGATCAACTTTAACCACTTTGCATGATACATTCTCTATCAAATCTTTGAGGACTAACAGCTGGATTTACATAGAGAATAGATTACACAAGTGGAGTAATTAGATGACAGGAAGGCAATTGGTTGTACTTAATTTTATTTAGAGGTATGAAAGCAAAATATTTTGACCACAGGTTTAGATTTTTCTAGATGGAACATTAAAAAAAAAAAACATGTACTATTTTCTTTCTGTCTCATTTCACTTTTGTTGTTCTATACAATGCCAATAAAATACATCAAAGTTTGTGGTCATAAGTTGACTAAATGTGAAAAAGTTCAAACAGTGTAAAACCTTTTTGCAAGACACGAAGCATAAGTTGAAATGTCAGAAACTAGTGATAACCTCTATCAGGGATTAAAGATGAAACATCCAGGCAGACACATCCTATGTGAAAACCACAGGGAGCAAAAAGGCCACAAAGAACAATGACTAGATAAGCCTCTGCACTTCATGTACTACCAGCAGATTAAAGAACTAACTGATATCAAGAAATCCTTACAGTGGATAGGAAAAGCTGTACTAATAGATGCATTGGAAGCAATTATCTTGATACATAAATATGCAGAACCCAAGAACATCATAAGAGATCTCTGCTCATAGGGAAAAACCTTGGGATGATGCGCATCGCCCCTAAATTCCCAGTAATCTGGTAGAAAACCCTCTGGTTCAAGAGAGGAAAGCATTTCCAAATGTTAAGTAATTGCACTTAGCCAGGTCATCACAAAGCAAGAGCAATGTTTTTACAGGAATTTATCAGAAGATCTTAAAAGTCTACATAACTGAACTATAAAATTAGAAAAGACATTTTTCCTGCTTTCCACTTTAAATTATTACAAAATGCCAGATGTGGCTTTTAAAATCAAATGAAGCAAAATCAGAGCAATTCAAAAACCATTATCTTGAGAGAAAAAGCAAAAATCCATTCACATACTTTAAGCAAGCATGTAGTTTGTGTTCATCCAGGCATATGCCACAAGCTCATCAGAGAAATGTTTTTCTGGTCATTAAGGAAACATGTTTAGCCTAATTTCTTCAGTTGTTTTGTTTATAAACTGACATGTTCAACCTTCCAAAAGAGGTCAGAAGGCAGACACATACATGCCAGATGAATCACAAACAGTGTAGCACAGAATTATTGGGTATGCAGGGTCAGTTCTCTTACACTGATGCTCTGATGTAGCCTCAAACCAGAGCCTCCAGCATTAAACAGAGCTTCACTCAGAATATTACTGCAAAGTTTATTTCTTCCAGTAACTCATTTCAATATGTGTGAAAGGAGTGTATTATGTATTATGTTTTATGCATTATGTGTAGTAATCACACACAAGCTGATATTTTCAAATCTTCATTTCCATTAATTATGCTTTTAGGTGTAGAGTTAATGAAAACATGATATCTAATTTCCTAGAAGGTGAGAAAATCATATCAGCCAACTAAATAAACTGCTTATAACACAGCAGTGTCAGCTAAACGTAATTTATGTTAATAGTTTCTAAAAGGTTGTTATTTTTAAAATATGTTTAATATGTTAAAAAAAAGCCTTGTCAGAACACATATTTTAATTTGAAACACTACAGGTTCCCTGTCCTTTTATTTAGTGCTGAACCTTCCTCCAGCCTGCTTTTGTTTCTTCCACCACAACCCATGACACTAACAATTATTTCCAATTTTCTTTAAAATATGCCATGTTATTGGAAATCTAAAACTAGTGCTCAAAGGCTGTTACCGTGATGCCTGTCAAATGGCATCATCCAAGGGCTGATCTGGGATTTTCACATGCAACTCGTAGGTTTACAGAAATTGGTTGAGAAAGGAAAAAATGGGGGCAAAAATGCTTTGTTGGTGTCAGAAGTCAGAGGAGAATGAGCATGCAGGTTCAAGATGATAGAAATACCACAGTTGCTCAAATAACTAGTTATAACAATTATGGTAGTTATAACAACATAAAAGCCCAACATGTCAAAACCTAAAGCAAATGGGCTACAGAGCAAAAGTTCATACTCAGGTATGAACAGTAAACTAAAAGTACACAGCTCATGCAGATCCAACAAACATTCCTCATATTAAAGAAAATTCAATTTTAGCTATACATTTCAGATACCAAGAATATGATGTGAATTTCATTAACATATGCTTTGTATCTTCGGTTCAGGGTGTTATTAATGGTTTAATAGCATGTTGGGCAAATTTTACTTTGAACACTTTTAACTGCTTAGAACAAATTAAGCATTATTCAAATGCTGCAGCCTGCCAGAGTATTGCTGCTGACTATATTCAAATTTGCAGAAACCGTGTGATGCTGTCGAGTCAGTATGGATTCAAATCTGGTTCACTTAGAGTTTAAGCATTTTTCTTCTGTTATAGTCCAATTCAAAGTTGTTCAATTCAGAGCTATTTTTTCCTGATAAAAGTGATATGGTTAAAGCTTTGATATAATCTACCAGCCAGGAGTCTTTGCCATGCAGTAAGCTGCTTCACCTATGATACTAAGTAGTAAAATGAATTGCACTTATATGTCTTTTAACCTAGATTTTCTTTTGTACTCTAATAAACACATCTATTTAGAGAGAGATAGTAAGCCAAGCCTGGTATGCAAAGATAATCCATCCAGCCAACCATGGACTACCAGCTTATAATTGAAGGTTTACAAAGGAGCTCGTGCCTATGTCCCTCACTCAGAGGATAAAAGGAGGGTACATCCTGGACAGATCACTCGTCCTTCAAAGAACACAAGTCCAACAAGCATTCACACATACACTAGCTCCAAAGGGAAATTTAGAGAGATGAATTGAACTAATAACATGCAGCTCTTTGGACTGGGAACAAGCTTATGCCAGGTTCACACAGCAAGATTTCTCTGCTAATTTTGATCCCGATCTTCCACTTACAGCAATCTTAATGATACCCTAATTGTTGGAATGGCTCTAATCTGAGGAGATTATCTGTTGGAATATCTCAACATGTTCCTGCTGAGTGCTAAGAGTGATCTGATCCGCTCTGGGGCACACTGGAACGGCTCTGATCTAAAATTGGGGAAATTCATCATGTTTGATTGTCTTGGCCCAATATTGCAGTGTGCGGAGTGTTCTCCTATTGACAAACAAGAATGCAGCCTTTTGAATGTGATATGTAACCAACGAGAAAGTGAGGTGACAGAAACACAGAGAAAAGTAATTACCATCACACAACAGAAAGTATCGTCTCTTTCTATTTTGTCTCTTTTAAAAATAGGTCACAAACTATCACCATTGCTTCTTTCCTTTTCAGTCATGTTTGTTAACTCTGAATTTATGTTTGACCTCAAGAGGTTTCGCGAGAATTCCCATCTGATATCTGAATGTTGGTGAGTGAAATCGGTTTAAGTGGAATGTGTTGCTCCTGCAATCAGTCAAATGTAGACAATTTTCAAATTTAGCCTTGTGATCCAACAATAATTACCCAAAAAGAAGCCATTTAAGCAAACGTCTTGCAGAAAGACAGCAGACAGAGATTTAAATATTTTTGCCCTTTTGTCTTTTGCATTTTTTAATTGAGGTCTCTGTTTGACACACAGTTATTCTCTTGCAAATTCTTTGGAAGAAAACTAAAACTTTATCTGTACTTGACTGGTTAAATAAACTAAATATGCAATTTTTGTCAAGACTAAATGTAATGCTACCCAAGCTTGTTTTTAAAATGGTATTTTAAAGAAGTGTTATGCTGAAGGCTGATAACAGACAAACATCACTCGAAATGCCAAAATAGATTAAGAATATTGGTGTACATATGATAAACAGATTGATCAAAGAATGTTTTGACAGACTTTTTTTTTCCCATGACATGGACCAATTTTGTCTAAAATATTTTCTTTCAAGTTTATGTAACTCTCATAAACAATTTTTTGGTTTAAGACTATATATGCATCAGCTCAATAAGTGTGGAGGATGCTCTACATTCATTGACTAAACAAAAGATGCTCTTAAGTTACTAAAGTTATCAGTGTAAGCATGACTTTTTAAATCTAATATAAGATTCATGGGCTTTTATGAAAACCATAAAATGTTGGGTAATACCCCGAAAGGAATGTGACCACAGGGGAGAGTCAACAATAGCTTTGTTTTTTTGTGAACGGTATGTTTTTAATCATATGTTTCATGTACAAAGAGTATCGTTTTGAGGGTCAAAGAATTTAGTGCCGACCTCATTATTCTGAGGTTACAAATATAGTATTACAAATGACTTGGTTGTATAACCCTCAGTCTTTGCTGAACAATCAGATGAGAATAATACAGTAACCACCAATGCAGCAGACGATGGGGTCTGGTGGAAAATTTTCTTCTCTGGACAGCCATAAACACAAAAACCCTCGATGATCGACTTCAATTTCAGTTTCAGGAAAAACACAGGGGGGAAATGCAAACAAGGGGATGTCATTTATAAACCATATAACTGCTAAGCAAGTTCTAAGGTGACTGTTGGATGGGAAATGTGAAAAATGTCAAGGTAGCTATTGAAAAGAGTTTAGGTTCGCACAAAAGCCTGTCACTTTTTCACTTCTCCCAGAAAGAGAGTCAGTGCTCTATCCAGAGAAATAGAGTATTTTTTAGTTGAATTTAAGTTGAATTAAAAAAGGCTGGTTCTGGGGACTTCTGTTGAACCTCTTCAGATAATGGTGCAACAAAGGATTTTACATAAATCAAGAAAATTATGAACAATCCTGAGCATCCTCTTCGTGATACTGTCATAGCGTTACTTATATCAGAAGTTTCTTAAAATTTGTTGTAATACAGAACATTACGGGAGACTTTTCCTGGTCTGGAGTTGGCATGGAGGTGAATGACATGAAATTACCATTCTTAGTAATTTCACATTTTATCAGTCTTACATACAAGATTTTATCAGTCTTACATACAAATGAACATATTGTCATAAAGTGCCACAGCACAGCTAGCAGTGTCTATATGGCATACTCAAAATAGCTTGTACAACAACATAAGCAAAGAGCAACACTTTGTATTTCATTTTTGGATAGTAACATATTAACATCAGGAGTTATTCAAATATGAAAGATTGGATCTGAACACAGAAGCCTATTGAAGTTTGACAAAATTAAAATACTCACTGAAGGATCAGAAACCCAAAAGCAAAGAGCCAGACTCTACTCACTGGGTACTCACCAGGTATCTTACCCCTTGACTTGATATTATCTTCACATTTTCTCTTTGCTTCGACCAACAGGCCAATCTGCTCCTCTTTTGTCAGCACATCATCTGCATAAACCTGCAAAACAGAGCAATAAAATGAAAGGAAGAACTCTAACACTAAGTAATACTGGTATGTAAAAAGACAGTGTCAATCACTCTGTCTTGTGGAAAATGACTTTTACGTGAAACATAAAGATTGTTTTGAAATATTCAAAAAACAAACACAAAGATAACATGAGACCAAAAACCTGTACATTTAAACCATTGATATTTATATTTTACCATTTCACCAAATGTTTCTAACTAATCCATGTTGAATTAACTTAAAACACCAATTAATGTCAATTAGTCAATTAGTGAGGGATTTTATTAACATGATAATTGCAAGAAACCTTGAATGGGAGCAGGTGCACATTTTTATCAGCAGTCACAGTTATTTATGTTTCTTTCATCTCCTCTTTCTTGGCTCTGCAGCAAGTCAGTCCAAATTACAACCGCTCTTGCTCCAAGCCAAATTAGAACCAAGAGCTTTTGAATTTAAGTGATCTAAATAGGAAGACAGAATAGCTGCCGGAGCGTTAGGCTGGCAGTCCGTCCTGTTTAGAAAGGATCTCTAGTAGGGATGGGCAATATAGTTGACCGGATGTTTGACAGACTCCTCCGTCTTCTGAAGGTCAAATTACAGTGGCCACATAGGAGGACATGTCAAAGGAGGACATGCATGCATCTGGGAGTCCAGTGCTGTATTTACTTCTGCCTTTGATGCCATAAAGAATAAATATGAAAATGCCCTCTCAGACAGACTCTTCCTCATGGATAAACAGTGTTCACATGCTGTTTACAGCTGCAGTCTGTGTTGTGGTTGCTGTGTCCACTGTTTTTGTGTGTGCATGATGAAAGTCAAAACTGACAACATGTATTCCTAAAAGCTTTTTCACAGTTATGCATTTTGATCTTTTGAGCTATGTAATGACGATTGACATGGAGCCTCAGGTGCGGTTTTCCAGTCAAGGAAACATTTTTCATTCTAATGGGTTAAACTGACTGACTTGCTGTTTGCTCATGGATCACTTGTTGGCAGTGACAAATGTGACTGCTTTGTAGGCAGCAACATTCATTTCTAACAGAGCGTGACAAGAAAGGTTGAAATAAAAATATAAATATGCTCACAGGATGCTCAGGATTAAAGGACAGATAAGAACAAATGTGTATACTTTTTAATATTGCTGTTTTGAGACTTTTTTTCATTTTGTTTGGAGGCCTAAAGTAAAAATTCCACACAGCAAAGGAAATAAGAACCTCTATGTTGCATCCAAAGTCTGGGGAAATTGTTTAAAATAGTTTAGAGAAAATTAATCCTTAATAAGAAAAATAATTTATATTTAAGAATTAGCTAAAATAAAAATAGAAATGGAAATAATTATAGGAATACCTTAAGGCTTTCTTTCAGGGATGTCTTTCTTCTTGCTACTTTTACACAGAGGACGTATTTGCTGAGTGCAATTACTAATAGCTGCCCTATGAATTGATTTTCTCCCAACTCATTTATGGATCTATAAAGCTCCTCCAGCGTTGCTATAGACCTCTACGATACTCCTTACATAACTGATCTCCTTGGCCAGTCTATCAGTTTGTACATATACTTTTAGTTTTTGGATGGTTAATGGAATAGTGCTCCATGCACTATGTGATTGTTTTATAACCCAAGTAAGCTTTGTACTTCACAATTCTCCTAACTGGTGTTTTTTTTTTTTTTTTTTTTGTCTTTATTATGTCTAGGCCTGTATGGCAACTTCATGGCACAATCACGTTTCACTGAAAACACAAGCAATTGCTTCTATTTTAATATAGCTTTACACAAATGTGAATGTTTGCATCAACAAAAAAAAAAAAAAAAAAAACTCCTCCAGTCATTCCAGCATTTTCTCAGGAAACTCACAAAAAAGTTTTCAAACCATAAGCCATATATATATATATATATATATATATATATATATATATATATATATATATATATATATATAAAGTTGGCATTAGTAAATTTCTATTTGTATTCAGTCTTTCAGATTGCCAAAATAAGTACATTAAATGTGGTGGAATCCTAAGTAAATAAATTGAACATCACTCTCACCCTTCATATCCAAATATCTTGATTTGTAAAATAATGGAACTCTGGAATATCCATCTATATTCTGCAAAAATAAAATCTCTGACAATTTGAGTACAAGGACTGGCATAAATTGCCTTGAAAACAAATCTCTGATTTTTGCAATCGTTACATAAACTGCAAAATACCAAGCTCTTGAGGGTTTTCTCCATACAAACCCACAATACCTCAATCCATCAATATTTTCATTGCTTTCTGTGCAGAAATAAGGATGTCCAGTCTGGGAACTGAATAAGGCTACAGAATGAAGACGTTTATGGCTTTGCATGGTAAACAACCACAGATGGAACAACATCTGACCACATGCGAACAAGGATAGATACAACCTGTTTACTGGAATAACTATGCCAATATAGAATATTCCACTGACAGCTCCAGAGACATTACCTCAATTTTAACCTCAGTTAGTGAGGTGAGAATTGAGACATTATTTTGCTTTAGGTGAAAGTTCAGTCAACTAATGACCAGCTATGGATAGTGAAAAGATTCATGCAGCAAGAATGAGTTCACTATTTGCAATAAGTATTTTTGTGACTATCAGATGGAACTCTTGTTGGGAATTAAGCTGAAAATAAAATCAGAAACTATGAACAGATGTATATTTTCTTTTTTCTTTTTTGTAAAAACAACAAAAAATATATTTTTTATTTCTAATTTACCTTCAAACATGAGGAAGAAGAGTATCGTTTGCAAATTCAAGAGGAGAATTCTGGGTAAATAAGTATGCCCTCAGATTATTTCTGAAAACTATTCCTCCTGCGCTGGCCAGAGTCCAAACCTCCAAGGCAAACACAACTTTCATGGGGAGAAACGTGAACATTCTTATTTACTGTATTTGATTCAAAACACAGTCTCTTTTTGTTGACCACTTTTGGGTCTGTGCCAGTATAAAAAACAGAAAACATATATATCATATATCTGTGTTTTCCACAGATATATGATGTCTCAAATACAAACCACAAGTTTGTTTCTCTATGCAAACTGCAGCATGACGACTTCAGCTGCAATGCTCTGCAAGAATATAAGGCAGAAATGTATTCAGGCTGCTCTGTCAGTGTCATGCCACTTATGTTTAATAACTAATTTAAAAAAATAAATGAAGATACATTTGGATTTCAGTTTGCCTGGGCATTTGGTCACTTTGGACAGTTTGTAGAGTGAATGTAAACTGAACAGCTTCACTCTGCATGTGTTAATTTCAAAAGGAGTCAGGAAAACAGGATGAAAGAACATTTTCTTTTAACTGAACACCAAAAATGAAGTCATATGGATAGGCGCCATTCAAATGCCAAGCAGACGTTGGGTTTCTGCTACATTGCTAGCAAACCCTCGTTGTGGATTGACTTTTGCTTTTCTTTTCTTCTTCTTTTTATTTTTTTAATAAAAACTCATGGTTAACCAGAGTCATTTCCTGAAATGCTGAGCAGTGAATCAGAGAGTTAAATGCTTTGTGAGGTAGCGAGCACAAAACAAAATCTTGATAAGGCAGGAAGTTAAAACAGACCACAAAAACCACACAATTCTGAAATAATTACCTACAGTCAACAGGCAACTCTTGGTTCTTCTTAATGTGGAACAAAAGGCACAGCAGTCTTGAGGAACATATCATTACCCTTTCTGATTGAAAAAAAGACTTTGATGTAGGTCAATCTTCTTAAAACCTATTTTAAGAAAGTTTTTATACAGCATGATGACCCTACTATTAAATGACTTACAGTAGCTATCAGAATATATCAGAATAATTTAATACATTTGGGACACACTTTTTATTGTGTGCATAATGGAAGTTTTGTACATGCACAAAGTCATCTCAATGCTCAATCAATAGTGATGAAAAGGTCACTTCTGAATATCCCACATGATGCTGCAAAGAGCAACTAGATTCTGTAGTAAGAATTTCCTTCAATGTGAAGGCATCCATCCATCCATCCATCCATCCATCCATCCATCCATCCATCCATCCATCCATCCATCCATCCATCCATCCATCCATCCATCCATCCATCCATCCATCCATCCATCCATCCATCCATCCATCCATCCATCCATCCATCCATCCCATCCATCCCATCCATCCATCCATCCCATCCATCCATCCATCCATCCATCCATCCATCCATCCATCCATCCATCCATCCATCCATCCATCCATCCATCCATCCATCCATCCATCCATCCATCCATCCATCCATCCATCCATCCATCCATCCATCCATCCATCCATCCATCCATCCATCCATCCATCCATCCATCCATCAAGTCTCTAACATTTTGTTCTTTCTAGCTAATCCCAATGGCCAGTAAACAGACTGATCTTTCTCTACTAAGGCAATCAGAGCAGAGTTTATATTACTAGAGGCAAGGCTGTCTATCCATCTATCATGCTATCCTATCACTACTCATGAACAAGTAATGGATATACTAGAACTCCTCCACTTGAGACTCCACTCTGACCCAGAGGGAGTAATTGTAATATGGCTCAAGGTTTGTGAAGGCGCCCTAAAGAATCAGTAGGTTCACTTAACTATATAACTGACACAGTAATTCTAAAGAAATAACTTTGTTTCAAAGTATAAAATGAAAGGCTCCTCTTTTTTTCTGAGTGGTTGTGTTTACGAGGGAAATATTGCAGTGGATTTCTAATGTCTGGTTTTTATTTCAAGACAAACTTCACTCTGTAATCAAGCAATTAATGAATTATCTGGGTATGTAATGATCACTAAGACACAAAGAATGAGCACACACATTGCTATACTGCATCATTTTCTTGTTCTGAAAGCATAAACTCTTACATCACAACAGTGTGACTCGAAACACAACTCATATTAATGTCTATATTTCAAAAAAGCCTTCTAATAAGAACCCTCTCTGTTCACTGATTGTTCAGTGGGAATAAGTTATTAGGGAAA